CATTTGATATTCCATAGCATTTTAAAAATGATGGATTCTCGTATCCAATTTCACAATACGCTTTTAACTTTAAAAATATATTAGCAAATAAAAAACTAATAAGACATCAATAAAAAAATAAATAAATAAAATACCTCATCTAAATATTCTTGATTATGAATCTTTTTAAGTGCGAATACAGGTGTATCCAAATTCTTAAATAAATTGATATTATCATCTGCAAATGAATTAGCCTCTACATCCTCTGCAGAAGGAATTAAGTGAACACGTCGTAATGATTCTAATATTTCTATATCCTCATATTGAGAAAATGCATCAAGGTTTGACCGTATTGTACCTAAGAAAAAAAAAATTGAAATTATTACTTTATCAGAAAAAGGCAGGTAGCAATTTATCTTTAACCATGATTACCTGTAAATAATATAGGATCTTGTGGAATTATAGTTATTCTTGACCGAAGATCTTCGACACCGACAGATGAAATATCAATTTCATCGACTAAAATTTTTCCATCTGATGGCTCCACAAATCGAAACATAGCCAATGCTATTGTTGACTTTCCAGATCCAGTACGTCCAACAAGTCCTATTTTTTCTTGACCTTCCACATTAAATGAAATGTGATGTAGTACTGGCTCTAAATTTGGTGCATATTTAACTTCTAGGTTTTGTACCGTGATTGCACCACTATGTGGCCAGTAAGCAGGTGGTCTCGGTTCAATTATAGCTGGAGCTTCTTGAGGAATTTCAGAAAATTCGCTTACTCTTTCAACAGCATTAAAACTCATTTCAAGTGATGTATATTTTCTAACAGTCGACATGATCTGCTCAGAAAAGTGCATTGCAAATGACATGGACAAGCCAGCTAAGCCAGCATCAAGTCGATCAAGGTTCCACAGAATGAAAATACCAGCTAAAAACGAAACGAATGCACCAGTAATATCGAAACGAATTGAAAGCCAACGATTTGTTAACCATGTATAAAAGAATGGACGATTATTGTTATCTATGCTGTGATATAAAATGATAAAATTTTAATTAAATGTAAAGTACGTGAAATTTTTAATAAATTTGTATACAAACTTTAATAGCATATCTTGCATAAACCGCTTCGATGCACTGAATGCTCTAATTGTTGTTATGCCACTACAAATGACATCATTATTAAACATTGTTAAACATTGTTAAACATTATTAAAACAAGTAAAGAAAAACAATTCAAATTTTAAAATATAATTCTAACACTTACATTAAAGTCTCAGTAAAATGAGAATACAGCGGAGACTTTGATACAGAATCCATTCTCCTAAGCTCCCGAGATGTCTTCGAGTATAGTGTACCAATAATTATATAAATAATGCCTGGTTAAATTAAGTTTAAAAAATTGGCAGAAAAGTTTGTATTCTTTGTTATTGCAATGAGAATCAACAAAATAATAATAATAAATGTTACCAAATAAGATTGCCGGAACAAGAAACTCTAGTATTACGGTTACAATTTTAGATCTAATACTTATGTATGAAAAGAATACGATCAAAAACAATACCTCTTGTAATGGCCGTTATAACAACGATGCTACTCGACATCATAAGTGCCTAAAAAAAGTTATGTTGAGTAAGCTACAAACATTATACATAACGACATCTGGATATAACGATATCTGAATATAACAACATCTGAATATAAAGACATCTAGATATAACGATATCATAGTAAATCTTTTTTTGGTCGCGTATATGTCGATATGTCGTCATAACTTATAGTTATTTGAATAATATCGAAATTTTTTTTTTTTTTAGTAATGTTTCGGATCGTGTCGTTATAACCAGAGTTACGTGTATTCTTCAAAAAGTAAAAGCATAACAAACAAAATGGATTTACATTGATCAAAAACCATGAAAG